GCAACCTCCGCCTCCCAGGCTCAAGGAATCGTCCCACCTCAGCTTCCCGAGTAGCTGGGACCAGAGGCACACGCAACCACGTCTGGCTAATATTTTTTGTATTTTTTTTTTTTTTTTTTTAGAGATGGGGTTTCACCATGTTGCCTAGGCTGGTCTTGAACTCCTGGGCTCAAGCAATTCACCTACGTCAGCTTCCCAGAGTGGTAGGACTACAGGCATGAGCCACTGCACCCAGCATGAATTTTTCTATAAATATTTTACGGTTAGGTGGGGTGGATTATGCCTGTAAACTCAACACTTTGATAGGCCTAGGTGGGTGGATCACTTGAGGTTGGGAGTTCGAGACCAGTCTGACCAACATGGTGAAACCCCATCTCTACTAAAAATAAAAAATTAGCTGGGCATGGTGGTGCAAGCCTGTAAGCCCAGCTACTCAGGAGGCTGAGGCACGAGAATCGCTTGAACCCAGGAGGCGGAGGCTGCAGTGACACTGCACTCCAGCCTGGGTACAGAGAAAGACTCTAACTCAAAATGTTACACACACACACACACACACACACACACACACACACACACACACAGGCCAGCCACAGTGGCTCACGCCTGTAATCCCAGCACTTTGGGAGGCCGAGGCAGGCGGATCACCTGAAGTCAGGAGTTCAGGACCAGCCTGACCAACATGGAAAAACACCATCTCTACTAAAAATACAAAATTAGTTCAGCATGTTGGTGCATGCCTGTAATCCTAGCTACTTGGGAGGCTGAAGCAAGAGAATCATTTGAACCTAGGAGGCAGAGGTTATGGTTAACCAAAATAGTGCCATTGCACTCCAGCCTGGGCAACAAGAGCGAAACTCCGTCTCAAAATAAAAAAAGAATTTTTTTACTGTACCCTTTCTTTATAAACAGAAAAAAAATTACTATTATTAAAAAATAGTTTTTTTTGTTTGTTTGTTTTTGTTTTTTTGTTTTTTTTTTGAGACGGAGTTTCACTCATGTTACCCAGGCTGGAGTGCAATGGCGCGATCTCGGCTCACCGCAACCTCCGCCTCCTGGGTTCCGGCAATTCTCCTGCCTCAGCCTCCTGAGTAGCTGGGATTACAGGCACGCACCACCATGTCCAGCTAATTTTTTGTATTTTTAGTAGAGACGGGGTTTCGCCATGTTGACCAGGATGGTCTCGATCTCTTGACCTCGTGATCCACCCGCCTCGGCCTCCCAAAGTGCTGGGATTACAGGCTTGAGCCACCGCGCCCGGCCTAAAAAATAGTTTTTGTAGACCACTAACAGCCAGGAAGAGTACATAAAAAAGATTAAGACCTAAAATCATGTCTTTGACTTTGAACTTCAAAGTAACCACTAGCAAGCAAAGCTGAATCTTCTGATGGTATAAAAATGTACTACTACCCAAGCAATTTTTCAGATATATTCAGTAGGTGATAAACACATGTGAGCCCCCGTCACAAGAAGAATCATTTCAGAGAAGACCAGAATTCCACTTTCACCCTGAAGAATTCAAGACAGGCACCCTCTCAAAGTATAAATTTTCTTATTTGCTACTATATTGTCAATACATTCATATCAAGCTATAAAATGTTAACAGTGAAACCTAGCTAGAATTTGAATTAATTTTCAAACTATAAAATCTTCCAGAGAACAGTATACTTCTAAACTAAAACTAAGTAGACAAACCAAAAATCTTGCTTAAACTTGCAAAATAAAATACTATCTCAGCATGGGGTGGTGGCTCAGGCTTGTGATTCCAGCCCTTTGGTAGGTCGAGGCTAGAGGGTTGCTTGATCCCAGGAAATCAAGAACAGCCTGGGCAACATGGCTAGATTCCATCCCTATAAAAAATTTAAACAGGCTGGGCACAGTGGCTCACATCTGTAATCCCAGCACTCTGGAAGGCCAAGGCAGGTGGATCACCTGAGGTCAGGAGATCGAGACCAGCCTGGCCAACATGGTGAAACCCTGCCTCCTCTAAAAATACAAAAATCAGCTGGGTATGGTGGCATGTGCCTGTAATCCCAGCTACTTGGGAGGCTAAGGCAGGAGAATCAGCTTGAACTTGGAAGGCAGGGGTTGCAGTGAGCCAAGATCACACCACTGCACTCAAGGCTGGGCAACAAGGTGAGACATTGTCTCCAAAAAACAAAGATTTAAACAGCCAGGGTTGGTGGCACACACCTGTGCTCCTAGCTACTTGAGAGGTTGAGATGGGCAGACCCTGACCACTGCCAGGCTAAGGTTACAGTAAGCCATGATCGCGCCACCGCACTCTGGCATGGGCCAAAAAAAACGACAAAAACAAAAACTACTATCTCAATTACAACTATCTTCATCCCAAGATAGCTACTCACTCTCTTTTCTTTAAGAATATTGACTAGAAGAGTTAACAAAAGTCACCTTTTATCACACAAAACTTCACATCAAACTTCACCATTTAGTGACCACTAACATATAGCCTTGGTGAATGTGCATTAAAAAACTGAACCACCACCAAATTCAAATGGGAGACACCAATGTGCCTTATAAGCCAAAAAATAAAAGCCTTACAAATCATCTAACAATTTACTTCAGCCTAACCAAACATAAGTTTCAAAAAATGATTTAAAAAAGCAGTGAAACAGTGTAGTAGGTAGGGACAGGACTTGGCCCACCCCCACTAACATGTTTTTCCATATGTGTCCACTAACCACCAGATGTTCTGGCACCCCCCTGGTAGCCTATACCCACTGACCAGACCTTGCAAGCTGTCTAAAACAACTAACACAAGCAGCATTCCACCATAAATCCTACTTAGGAGAGTTAACTCTATTGCCCATATGTGCATGAGGCCAGGAGAATGACCAATCCTAACCCTGAGCCTCATTTTAATACTAAAACCTTTGCCCACAGGGGCTTATCTGCCCCTATGTGTTAGCATGATTCCTCACTGCATCTGCACACCCTGAGCTCTACCCCACAACTGTAATAACGCTCACCTACCTCATGAGTTTTGCATGTTACCCTCCTTAAGACACGGCAAGGCATCCCCTGGGGAGCCGACCAGAGGACCCTTCTTTTTGTACTGTCTCACTTATGCCCAATGTTTCAGACATAGGTCTTTTTTTTTTTTTTAGACAGTCTCACTGTGTCACCCAGGCTGGAATGCACTGGTACAATCACACCTCACTGCAGCCTCAACCTCCTGGCTCAAACAATTCTCCCTCAGCCTCAGGAGTACTGAGACTACAGGCGTATGCCACGAGGCCAAACGACTTTTTTTGTTGGTGGTGGTGGGGAGGCTTGCTATATTGCCCAGGCTGGTCTCAAATCTGTGAGCTCAAGTGATCCTCCCATCTCAGCTTCCCCAAAGTGCTGGAATTACAGGCATGAGCCACCACTAGGCATAAGTCTTAATAAATACTGTCTGGGAAGCCTGCTCGGCCTCCTATTAATTTCTATCAACTCACAGCCAAGAACCTTGCACTACTAACAGCAGCATTTTCTGTCCCTAGTAACTAATGAACGTAAGGCAACGATCACCAGTGAGTAACACAGAAAAACACTAGACATTTTGTGCCTTCTGATGGACGGACTTACACCCCAATGTGATCAATTCTCTACTGGTGATCCTGAAAGCATTGTCCATGGAAAAAGCAGCATCAGCATCTGAAGACTCTTAAAAATGAAATTCTCACACTCCACTCCAGTTGTTTTGAATCAGAATCTTTAAGGGTAGTCCCTAACAATGTTTTAATCAAGCCCTCTAGGTGATTCTCATGCACATTAAAGAGAACCACTGCTCTAGCTCCAAAAACCAACTTAATAGAAACACAGAGAAATATATTTAACTACTCCAACAGGATGTAGTTTAACAATTGGCAACATCCAAACTGTGGGGAAACTACAGATAACCTAGGTCCTTCAACAAAGAAACTGCCAAGATAATGTTTTTTGACTGCATACATAGGTGAAATTTATATTTTAAGTTTCTTTTAGTCTATAGCAATCAATTGTAACATGCAGGCTTTGTTCTGCTCCTGATTGAAATGACCTAAATAAAATACCACTTATGAGACAACTGGAAACCTGAACATCAATAAATCATGTGATAATACTGTTGTAGTTGTTTTAAAAAAAGAGTCTTTTCCTCCCGTAACAGTTGCTATGAAAAAAAGGGGGAAGAGAATCTTTATCTTTTAGAAATACATAAAGAAATACTTGCAAAAGACATGATATAAAATCTAGGATTTGCTTTAAGTATAAGATGAAGCACTTAGGAAAGAACTGGCCATGGGTTGACAGGTACATAGGGGTTCATTATACTATTCTGCCTACTCCATATATGTTCAAAATTATCCTCTGCTTATTGTGAAAAAAAATTTAAATATTTTGCCAAATTAAATCAATTAGTGGCAGAGAGCCGTGGCTCACGCCTGTAAAATCCCAACAACTTTAAGAGGCCGAGGCAGGAGATCACTTGAAGTCAGGAGTTCAAGACCAGCCTGGCCAACACAATGAAACCCTCTCTCTCCACTAAAAATACAAAAAAGTTAGCCGGGCATGGTGGTGGACAACCTGCTACTCGGGAAGCAGAGACATAAGAATCACTTATATCGGTAAGGCGGAGGTTGCAGTGAACGGAGATCATACCACTGCACTCCAGCTTGGGCAATAGAGCAAGACTCAGTCTCAAAAAGAAAAAGAAAAAGAAAATCAACTTAGCAAAATCCACAAGTTTTAAAGTTGAAAATAATATATCACCGGTTTGTAACTGACACACATCCAGTTCAACCATAAGCCCCAAAAAATCAATAAGCCTTCATGTAAATATGCATTAGATCTTTATTTCATCAGCCTTCCATGATCTGTGGAAGGATGAATATCATTTCTGTTACTTAAAATGTATAGTTACTAAAAAACATCTTACTACTTCTCAATTCCAAAGAAACTATTTTAAAGAAAAAGGTAAAAACATATATAGGAATGTGCCCCCTAAGCTAAAAGTTTACCTGTAAAGATGTAATTGATCCTGTGTGTCCTTGGAGCACAGCAACTGGGGCACAAGTCCTCAAGCACCACACTCTAATAATTTTATCACAGCTCCCCGCAGCAATCATTGTATTCTCATAGTTTACTGCCATATCTGATATTTCTGCAGAATGGCCTCTTAATGTAGATAACAAGCGGCCATTATGTGTTGACCAAATCTTCACCAAACAATCATCTGAACCCTAAGGAAAAATATACCCAAAAATTAATGTTAGCACAGCAAATCTTTTAAATAATATTAAAAGAATACCTTTTATATGCCATCCAAATGAACTATCTTTAACTTCTCTCTTTCCAACTATAGAATACTGTTATTTATGTAATAAATTATGACTTATAGTCAGAACACTTATGGAATAATAGTATTTTTCTTTAAAGCAAAGAAAGTCTACATAGAGGTGCCATCAAGTTATCATTTCTATGGGTCAGACTCCATTATCAACACTATTTTCCCCCAAGTTTTCTGCAAAGTAGTAAGTCCAACTCAAAGTTCTTGGCTCTCTTATATCAACTAACAATGGCTAAATGTTAGCCTATTCACACCAAGCTAAAAAATTTGATGAATGTTAGAACAGATCTATATTTCATAGTGTGAGAAACAGGACTAAGTTGCAATCCCAAAGACAAAAATGGTGGGAATAGCTTCTTCACAAACAACACAGTTTGAAGTTTACAGTACTAGCCAGCACCCATTCATTCAAGAAACATTTGATTAACTATTCTGAATTGCACACCTGCAATTTAAACTTAGACTTCTCATCTATCCTAATTTACCCTTAAAACATTAAAATGATAAATTCCAAATGTTTTCAGATCTTTTTTAATACTTACTTGAAGACTAATGGGTTATTTTATAATCAATTCATTTTCCTGAAACAGTGATTGGTTAATGTGAAGAGGAATCGCTTATAGAGGTCTGAGGAGCTTTCTATTTTGAGGGATTTACAGTTAATACATATATTTAGATTAATTACAATGTAATATAATTCAGTAAGTCTAGAACATGCTAGAGGGAAAGTATTAGGTATGCCTATTTTTAAGCATCCTTAAATATCCCACTTAAGAACCACTACTCTAAATCACTGTCTCTCAAACAGCACACAGTCCTGGCTATCTTCAGGTGAATCACTTGGAGCACTTATTTGAAAACACAAATTCATGGAAGCCACACCATACCTACTGAATCAAAATCTGTGAGGATGGGAAACAGAATCTACATATTTTGTAAGACTTCCTAGATGATTCTGAAGCACACTAAAGTACTCTAGATTACATGAAATAAAGTTTAAAATGTTAACTCACTGTAAAGATTCTATGTCCTGTCCTATCAAATGCTACACAGTAAACAGCAGATAGATGTCCGAGAATCCTTCTGTGCATTTTTATATGTTGATACATAGTTCCTGGAAATGCTGTACTAAAAGTAGAACACCCTGTGAGTTGTTTTCCTCGATGTATCTCCACTAGGAAATAAAAACAATAAAAATGGTTAAGGGAGAGCCAATATGGAAAAATCTAAAACTTGTATAACTACTTCTAGAGGGTCACAAAAATCTATGTTCAAGAAACCCTAAGGACACAATTTCTTCCCAATTCTTTCTTCTATATTCACTAATAGAAATTTCTTACTACAATAAGATTCTTTTTCATTAACTTTATTTTTAGTAATTTTAATTAATTTGAAATTTGATACATATTACTATTAAAACAACATTTTAACAAGTATTTCCTTTTAAATTTTAATATAGCATTTATAAAGGTTGTCAAGAAATTTAAGAAAGAATGATTTCAGGCATCTTAAAGGCCAACCTTACTTACCAAGATTAGGTGGGGAACCATAATTCACTGGCATTTCAGGAGGTCTTCCTCTATGAAGAGCAGCAAAGGCAGAGCCCTTCCAAACTGTGTGCCTGCAGTCTTTAAAATGAATTTTAGATACACATAAAATCTTGAAAGTTAACCCCAAAAAAGATTTTATAGAATACTTACGTATATTGTAATAAACTGTTTATTCAACATTTTACCAACTAATATACTTTAACAGAATAGCCCTGGAGGTTTATTAGACTATTTCTGAAGGAAAAGAAAATTAAGACATCTCAGATACAGCAGCAACAACAACTAACATTTGTGTAGCACTTTACAATTCACAAAGTGCTTTCAACATACATTATCTCATTGAATCCTCACAACAACCCTGTGAGGTAGGTATTTTTGCCAATTTACAAGTGAGGTAACTGAGGCTCAAAGGTTCCAGGACCTTTAAAGAGATCCACAGAAAATGACTGGTAAAGATGGACCATGAAACCAGATCTTTCGACTCCAAGTCCCAATTGATGCCAAGTAAATGTTTATTTTTCAATGTAGAATTATATCATACAATATTAAAGATAAGGTCTTACAACTGATCCAACTTTTCAAAAATGGAAGCTTTTATGAGGTAAAATTTAATTTGAGTTATATGAAAATTCATGACTTATTCAGTTTTAAAATTAATTTGGCCAATACTGCCATGACTTTAGTCTCTCTCTTTAGGAACTACTGACAAATTACACAGCTTTCCCTTCGTTTTAGGATCATAGAAAATCCTCTACTGAAGAACACATATGTAAGATCTGTGAGTCTGAACACTAATTCAAAGTCCATCCCTCCTTGACCTACCAGTAAATGCACTAAGAAAAAAAAGTCTGCTCTCCTCTACAGGAGATGGCAGCAGAATATAGGTTTTAAGCAGTCACACTGTGCCAGAAATTAGTTTCTTCACAACTCAGAAAGAGAAGGAAGGCATCATACTAAACCTCTACTGAGCCTCGGGTGCCCCAAACTAACAGCCATATTGCATTTTACATGAATGGATTCATTGCCACTATCATGACCAAAGAGCAGTTACAAGGCATCCTCCTGTGGTACCAGTACAAAACAAATAGAGAATATGGCCCCTACCCTAGGGCAGCTTGCTAAAGTCTCTTCTAAGGTCTGCCAGTTCTAAATCACTGCTCATCACACAACGACAACATGGAGCTTGACACAAGTAAAGAAAACAAAAGGAAACAGGCTACCCATTAACTACCATATAACCAGCTAAAATAGAATAATTACAAAGTGAATAGGGACACAGAAGAGGAAGAATATAAACAGTTTCCTGATTAGTGCCACAGGGTGGTATGGCTTGAGCACTAAGAAACAACTAAAGCTAACAAACCAGTCTGGCATTGAACTATGAGGGAGGGGTGTTCTTTCTCAATTAAGCTTTATACTGGTGGTGCATCCAAGAGGTAGCAGCACATCAGCAATAGCTCATAATAAAAACTAATCATGGGATGAACTTGATTTATGCTCAGGACCAGAAGAACCAACAATCTTTGCCCATTAGCAGTTTGGCCACATGTACACATAGATTATATCACATACATATACTTAGTCTAAGTCATATATACCAAGCTAACAGAAAAAGAATAGCAATTTCAAACATTTTGCTAGCACATAACTTTGCAAAAAAATTAAACTAGTAAAAAAAGAACCATGCAATTTTACATTTTTGATGCTTGTTTTCAAGCTGCTACCAAATTTAGAAAATCACTTCCCTTTATAACAAAGGGCTTTCAGAAGCTAAATATCAAATGAAATACTTCTAGCATTTAAAGAGTTTATTAGACACATACAATTACATTCAATGATGTTATGAGTGAGCTACAAAATGGAAAATTAAGAACTCACATTGATAAAACCTCAAACACATCTCAGAATAAATTCAAGCTTTTTAGCTTAACATCTGTATCTTTATCAACTTTTCAATGCAGAAGGACCCATTAAACACTTATGTAATAAAATTCAATGTTCTATGCTAAATGCAGAGAATTTTATAGTCCACAGCATGATTTATAGTTACATTATCACCTTTCTTCTACAATGCTTACATTACTTCACAATTATAATAATTATTAGGCTATTAATACAAAGCAGAACACTTCTTCAAATTAAGGTACCTTTTGCTGTACGTAGCAAAGACTGCCTTCCTGCACCAAGTAAAGAAGTGACTCTTGAAATACTGGGTGGAATTTCTTTATCCAACATAGGCCCGATGCGTTGGCAGATTTGCAACAGATGATCAGGAGCCACATGCTTATTGGACAAGACCTAGTTGGAGAGCAAGTTTTAATGACAGCACTTTAATAATACCAAATACTATTGAATACTTAGGGACAATTCTGACAAAACATGAAAAACATATACTGAAAACTACAAAACATGCTGAGAGACATTAAAAACAATCTAAATAAAAAAATTTATTTTTTAAAATAAATCTGTTTAAATGTACAAATTCAAACCTGTAACACTCAAAACTTTAGCAGGAATTTTGTAGAAATTGACAATTTTGTTCTAAAATTCATATGCAAATGATCTAGTAAAGCACCTTTGAAAAAGAATAAAGGTTGGAGCACTAACAAAACCTAATCTCAAGACTTGAAATCAAGACTTCACTCAAAATTATGCTAACTGGGCCAGGCACACTGGCTCACACCTGTAATCCCAGCACTTTGGAAGGCCAAGGTAGGTGGATCACTAGCCTGACCAACACGGTGAAACCCTGTCTCTACTAAAATACAAAATTAGCCAGTCATGGTGGCACAATCCTTTACTCCCTGCTACTTGGGAGGCTGAGGCAAGAGAATCACTTGAACATGGGAGGCGGAGGTTGCAGTGAGCCAAGATCGTGCCACTGCGCCCAAGCCTAAGCAACAAGAATGAAACTCCATCTAAAAAAAATAAATTGGCCGGGCGCAGTGGCTCACACCTGTAATCCCAGCACTTTGGAGGCCAAGGCAGGTGGATCACAAGGTCAGAAGATAGAGACTATCCTGGTCAACATGGTGAAGCCCTGTCTCTACAAAAAAACAAAAAAATAGCCAGGTGTGGTGGCGCGCACCTATAGTCTCAGCTACTCAGGAGGCTGAGGCAGGGGAACTGCTTGAACCTGGGCAGGGGTTTCAGTGAGCTGAGATAGCGCCACTGCACTCCACCTTGGTGACAGAGCAAAATTCCGTCTCAAAAAAAAAAAAAAAACCCTAACTGGCCTGTAAGTGAAACACACATCTTTGAGAGAGATGTTAAGATATCAAAGATCATACAAGACATCATCTAGTAACCAAATCATAGATAACTGGTTCTCAACAATATACTAGGCAGTAAAAAACATTAATGCTTGGCCGGGCGCAGTGGCTCACGCCTGTAATCCCAGCACTTTGGGAGGCCAAGGCGGGTGGATCACGAGGTCAAGAGATCAAGACCATCCTGGTCAACATGTTGAAACCCCGTCTCTACTAAAACTACAAAATTAGCTGGGCATGGTGGCGCGTGCCTGTAATCCCAGCTACTCAGGAGGCTGAGGCAGGAGAATTGCCTGAACCTAGGAGGCGGAGGTTGCAGTGAGCCGAGATCGCGCCATTGCACTCCAGCCTGGGTAACAAGAGCAAAACTCCGTCTCAAAAAAAAAAAAAAAAAAAAAAAATTATTAATGCTTTCAGTAAGTATTGACAGACTACTAGGTGCCAGGAACCGAAAGTAGATATACCTACGAATAACTACAGACAATTATACGTCTCTTATAATTTCAAATTAAAAATAATCATTTGGATGGGCACAGTGGCTCACACCTGTAATCCCTGCACTTTAGGAAGCTCAGGCAGGTGGATCACCTGAGGTCAGAAGCTCAAGACCAGCCTAGCCAACATGGCAAAACCCTGTCTCTACTAAAAACGCAAAAATTAGCTAGGCATGGTGGCACAGGCCTGTAATCCTAGCTACTGGGGGGGCTGAGGCAGAAGAATCGCTTGAACCTGGGAGGCAGAGGTTGCAGTGAGCCAAGATCATGCCACTGCCCTCCAGCCTGGGCAACAGAGCGAGACTCATCTCAAAAAAATAAATACATAAAATAAAAATAATTATTTACTCCAACGTAAAAGATAAAGTGAGAAACTATTGCTCTCATCTCTACAATAAGAACAAGCTAGATAAACTTTTTAAAAATGTTTAAACCCATCACAGCTGAAGAAACAAAAATGTACATTAACTAATCCCAGAAAGTACAAGCTTTTCTGTGAACACAAAAGGGACTCAGGGCAGGTGCAGTGGCTCAACCTGTAACCCCAGCACTTTGGGAGGCTGAGGCAGGTGCATCACCTGAAGTCAGGAGTTTGAGACCAGCCTGGCCAAAATGGTGAAACTCCATCTCTACTAAAAAAAAAAAAAAAAAAAAAAAATACAAAAATTATCTGGGCTTGGTGGTGGGCATGCATGTGTAATACCATCCACTTGGGAGGCTGAGATACAAAAATCGCTCGAACCTGGGAGGCTGAGGCAGAAGAATCACTTAAACCCAGGACGCAGAGGTTGCAGTAAGCCAAGATCATGTCATTGCACTCCAGCCTGGGGAATGAGTGAAATTCCATCTCAAAAATAAGTAAAGAAAAGGGACTCATAGCTGCTTTCATTCCTAGCAGAGAGGCAGAAAGAACTGACCTCAGACAAGAATAAGAAAAAGCCATTCAAACCTCTAACAAACTTGTGGCTGGCATGACTGACCAGAATCCTAAGGAGCCTCAGTCACAGTAAGTCTGCACATCTACCACAATTTTTTTCCACAGGCCTTCACCAACTGCATAAGGCCCCAACACTATAGTCAGGCAGCCCTGGAAAAAAACCTTACATTCCAAGTGTACCACGGAGGCCCTCCTAAGGCTACAGATAGAACAACACAGTGGAAAATCTCTTCTGACATGGAAAGCCCAGAGCAGGACTGCAAGGTAGAGAGAACTCTGTAGTAACCTAAAAAGTTGGCAGTTAGGTACAAAGTAGAACAAGATATCACAAAGTTTGGAAAGGTGGCAACTTCACTACAAAAAAATAAGACATCTCAGGGATTTCAAGAGTGCCCAGCCGGGCACGGTGGCTCACGCCTGTAATCCCAGCACTTTGGGAGGCTGAGGCGGGTGGATCACGAGGTCAAGACATCGAGTGCCATCCTGGTCAACATGGTGAAACCCCGTCTCTACTAAAACTACACAAAATTAGCTGGGCATGGTGGCGCGTGCCTGTGATCCCAGCTACTCAGGAGGCTGAGGCAGAAGAATTGCCTGAACCCAGGAGGCGGAGGTTGCAGTGAGCCGAGATCGCGCCATTGCACTCCAGCCTGGTAACAAGAGCAAAACTCCGTCTCAAAAAAAAAGAGTGCCCAAATGCCAAACTGCTGGAAGGGAAAGTCTTGATGCCACCTCAAAGTATACAAAGCCAGTGATTAACTGAATGTAACTAAGATCAGAGATGATAATTACAAATTAGATTGACCCTGTTTCTTTTTTATTTTATTTATTTTTTTTTTTTTTTTTTTTTTTTTTTTTTTT